AAAACGTTTGATATTATGGGTAGTAGAATTGCGGGAAGGTAGTTGGCTATAAAGGAAAGAATTCCCTTGTTAAGTTTGAGTAATCAACCTGTGTTTCCACATACCAGGCACGCACATTTCGTTCAAATGGTGTTGGGAGAATCAAGCCAAATGCCCAGCTAAGCTCCTCCCAACCATCAGAATTGAATTCCGGTGGATGATAACAACTCCAGTGTGGCAGTGCTTACGCATAATCAACAAATTATTCACCACAGTGTTCTACGGGAATAATATATTTGTTTTGGATGCGAGAGTAACTTACTTTAAGTTAAGGTGCCCACCGATCGCGCTGAATGTTTGGAGCATGTTGCAGCCTCAGTGTATTCGTTGAATTTTCGGGTTCCGTGTCCGTTCATCCACTGTTTGAAACGAAAGATTTCCCATTTTAATTTCGTAGACTGTTTACACTTTGCTACAGCAGTCTGTGATTTTATAATACGCCTATTGTGAATTTCTGCTGATGTAAATTTTACCATTGTTAACAAGTTGAGTACAATGTTTACGTCTGGTCACAAATCAATCCAAGTCTCTGTGATCGGAGGCAGATTTTAGACACGCTAGACAAATTTTACTATCGCTATACATTAAGGTGTTCTGCTTTCACATTAATGAGACCAAATTTTCCTGGTAGGCGGCCTTAGTTTTGGATACTTGCGCAAACAATATCTTTCAGTGGCTGCTGAAAAGATGAAGTACGATATCCGTTGACTTGTGTGCCAGAAACGTCCGGTTTATCGTTTGCTTTTATCGAGCTATTATATTGTAGCGCATAATCGCTCTCGTTGAGTCGGTAAACAGCACAGTATATAATGCCTATGACAGTTATAGGAACAGTAAGGCAACGTAAACACTGCAGATCATTGCAACAATTACTATAGCTATCATCGGTTCTTCTAACGTGAATATCCCATTTAGTGTGACTGCATATCTGATTTGCTGAATCTAGTCCAATGCCTTGTTTGGCAGTAGAGCAAGTAGCTGTAGGCAGGCTTTTGTAAATCTGCGTTGCAATTTTGCAGGCGCGGTTTGTGATTTCGGGGTGCGCATGTTAGAATGGCCAGCAATACGCATGTGAAGGAAGGTTTTGCATGTTTACTACCTCAGTGCAGATGCCAGAAGCATGTCTTTCTTGGGCTTGCGTCATTAAAATACCTTTCAAGGATTCAACTAAATCGAACTGCGTTGTTCTCCTCATAAAATACCCTCCACTATGCATGGTAGGTTTGCTCTGATTCCCACTCGGGAAATTAATTTTCGTCCCCATTGCATACCAGTTCATTCTGAGCAACGTACTTCAGCGTGAAGGTTCCAAAATTAAAACATAGTAACCGTAGAGAGCGTTAAAAACATAGGTAGGATGTAAAGCGCGCATCCGAAATTCCAGCTAGCAGGAAACAGCCGTACATTGCTTTTCAGCGAAAGTGGTGACTGTCTGACTGAGTGCAAATGTGCTGAAAATTTGCCTACACCATACTACAAAAGTCACGAGAATTTGTTCATCACTTGACTGGTATCGCAAAATAGATCGGCTTATTTTTTATTTTGGCATCTGATTTCTACCAACCGTGGTAACAACTATGCGGATCATCCAGCTTGTCGGTCTCAACATTTGCAACCAGTATGTTTTTTTCTTTTGATATGGGGGTGGGGGCGTGGGAAAATTATCAATATTTCCACAACGGCTAAGCTTGTGGGAATTTGCTCCATGACTTGTTTGAGACCGACGAGCCAACTCTATTGGCTTTCGGATGCAAAACTTAACACCCACCCAACTAAAACATGTTTCATACGGCAGTAACCATTTTAGACCCTGCAGTAGTACTAAGTTTCCTTAGTATTCATATTCTCCCGCAAAGATAATATCGAATTCAAAACATCTTTTCACTAACCAAACTTCCTTGAATTCACAAATTCACCAGGTTTAACATGACTAAACCAAACAGCGTGCATGTATGGCGAAATGGATTTTATGTTTCGACTTGATAGCTAAGGCATTGAAATGAAAACTTATTTTGTATTAACCTTGTGTAAACTAAGTTAGAATCTTAGGATACCGATAGTGACCGCTATGTATCGCAACTCAACTAAATACTACAGTCTTGCACACAGAATGTCATCGAGGCAAGGGTTTTACTATTTCATTTATTTGCAATATTATTTGGAATATATTCACCAACTGATATTTCTTTTGGTAAGCGGTGCGAAAATTTCGCATTTACAAGCATGGTGATGTTCCTGTCTATAATATACCTAAAGTTCCTGGGTCAGACATATAATTGCAACAGCCTCATCAAACACATGACAACCGAATTTGACTCAGACGCATTTGTTGCTCCTCATTAAATGTTCGGTGTCCTACACACTGTATGTCTTATACACTGGCATATTGTCACATTCTGAACGACAAATGTACTAAAAATCCAAATCATTATATATTTTTTATCCATGAATCCACCTTTCAAAACATAATCCCCCACGTTGCATGTTAGTTGATTAGACTATTCATCGCTTTCTTTTAAAATCGCGTCGATTGCCATCCTATTCAATTAGTGCTGTGATCGTTTGTACTTCCGTTTATTTCCACTTCGCTTTAGCTTAGTCCGTAGGCCGTTTTCTTTGTGTAAACAAAATGGTTTATTTCCTTTGATATGAATATTAGTGTGATCGGTCTCTAAATTATTGCCCTCACATTTCTATAAGAGCATCGTAACTCACCTCTATCTTTAACTCCTGGACTGGCGCAGAATCTTTCACGGTGCTCAAACAAACGAACGATGTTTCTGCAGTGATGATTCGTTTTCCAGATAGCTATCTCCCGCTGCGCTATAATGATAGACTATGCTGCACGGCAAGTATAAGCCTGCAGGTCACAGATACAAATTGCTACTATGCAACTTCTTCGTGAACTTCCAAACAACATACGATTGATAGAGTGTTTTGCTTGGAACTGACTAGCTTACTGACAAAATAGAAAACCACGTTCCTCGCCCACTTAAGATCACACGTACATGTATATTTACATGAATAAGCCAAAACTGTGCGACCACCTTTTGCAATTTCCTTGTATCAACGAAGAGGGGGCGGGTATCGCAAAGTCAGGTTTTATACAATTTGATGATTTCTTATTCAGTGATATGAGAAATTAATTTCGAAAAATGGACTTGTGTACGTCTTAACAATGGTTACTATAGATACGCACTGACCAAAGACTTAGTGAAATGAAGGTTAATTAGCTCAGTAAACCTGGTTATTAGATATCGATAGGCAAAATGGCTTTGCACTTTTTCAATACATTGAAGCACGGTGCAACGGTGTTGCAGTGATTGTATGAACGATAAAATGGTTTGATTAAAGATCTTACTAATCTAATGCCAATATTCATTAGTTGGTTTATTGGTGCATTTCAGACAACTAAGCTTAACCCGTGTTCCTGTTCACCGAAAATGCTGACAATTTAATGAATGCGGATGCAGATCTCATCTTTCATTTTCCGTTAATTGCCGTTGCTACTTCACTTTGCAAAATGTCAAGTTTTGCATCTGAAATTGCTCTTTATTTATCTGCGTTACGGCAATTTCTTATTCACATGGATCACGGCGTAACGGTACTTCGTTTTAGTAATACCATGTTTCTGAGATTTGTTTAACCTATCTACAAGCAAGTTATCGTGTTATCTTTATTATGTTACTAGAATTGTGGGTGTGAAGTACAGATTATTCTGTCAGACTATTATTACTACAGCCGAGATCCTATGTCGTTCTCGTGATTCATCCTGTTTAGGGAGTACGCAGTTGTAACACATGTTACACAGTTTGCGACGCACTGAAAATCGATGAGCTTTATGAATGATTTCCTGCGGAATCTGCAATGATTGGGTTAAGTTGTTCAATGACTACCCTATAGTCAACCATTTGAGTTATTCAAGAAGGCAGCCAGTATTCTGCATACATGGATCTAACAAGCTTTCAAAGGTTTTGCAGCGTTGTTTCTAAAAGTGTATTGCAATTATAGTAAAATATCCATAAACATATTAGACCTCAGAATGGACCATTCCGAATTTCAAGGAATGCGTAATAGGATAACATACGCTGCGGTTCCAATAACTACCGCTACTTTCCATATATTCCGTGCATGCATTACACCTTTATAAATACTCACGTTGTTTGGAACAACTGCCTACATTCTGCTTAATCTCTCATTTTCACTACCAATAAGATTAAGCAAACGCCTGAAGAAACTACTTAGCAACATTGTTGCACTTCATTTGCTACACCTGCAGGAGCATTCTCAAAGCTCCTTTTTTCGTAAGTTTTGTAATGAGAACTTCAAGAGGTTATTTGTCTTCTATGCACTTTTTTCATAATTTGTATGGGTCAGTCATCCCAGATGAACAACTCACTTAGTTTTCATACGCATTCATTAAATCGTATTCATTTTTTATTTTACTTAATTTGGCCAAATGGTTCGACATGCGTGACAAAAGGCAAATAGTGGTATGCTGCCAAAAGACGTCAGTAAATTCTACTTGACAGAAGAGTATACGTGGGAGTATCACGAAGCTGTGGAAGCTGTTGAAGTTTCTAGAAGATGCCTGAGGGAGTGAAAAGTCCAAAGCAAATTTTTCTTATTCAGCCAAACTGGTTTACCTATATAAGTACATGTGTAGTGTGGAAGGGAAACTGTCGTGGCGCGCAGCTTGAATTTGAACTAGTGCTTACGCTGCGCTCTCATTCGCCTTGCAGGAACCTGGTCGTGCGCTTCAGCGGAAGAAGTGCAAGCAGAAGAAGATTGACTGTAATGTTTATTTTCCTTTTTATCACATTATTTCCTCTATTGTAGTTTGCTACGTGTTGCTCAATAAATCTCCAATTCCAATCTCCGGAGTTCTCCCGAGCTTGTATATTAAAATATTGGCGACCCTGGCAGGGCACGTTCATCAGGAATCCTGTATCAGTGGTCTAATGAAGGTAATGCCGAAGAGAACCGAGAAAGCCGATGACGAATGTAATTTTGACGCTAATGACCCGACGTCAAAGCTCGCCGCTTCGCTCGATGTGTTATCACGGACTTTGCAGAAAATGTCGATTTCACCAACTTCTTCAACCAGCATATCATCTATCCCGTCACCAGAACGCTTTACCCTGGGGATGCTGTACCCCAGGTGGGAAAAGCAAGTCCAGTTTTATCTGCGTCATTTCCCATCCAACCAACCAGCAGCTGTGCTCGACGACCTGCTCTCGGGAGAGGCCTTTGATATTGTTGCAGACAGTAAACTTTTGGAGAAAGAAGTAACAACTGAGACTTTTTCCGCCATGCGCCGATTATTAGCCCGCCCCGGTCTACCTGCGCCCCTACGCAAGGCATTCCACGCACGTTACCAATATCCGGGGGAAACCATCCGCACCTACGTTCGCGAGCAGCAGAGGATGGTCGATATCGCATACGAGAACGAAACGGCAGAGGAATGTGAAAACCTGGTCTTAGGGCAACTCTTAGAGGGCACTCAAAAGCCGTCTATTTAAAGGGAGTTTCTGCGATACCCTCCCCGCCGTTTGGACGAAGCATTGGAAACTGGTGATCAGTTGGAAGAAATAGATGCAGCGATGGGTACACCTACATCTGGCTGTTTTGCTGTAAGAAGGAACACACTACCCAGACGCGTCCTACCTGAAAGAATGACGGGCAACCCTGGCCGTTTTCAGAAATATCCCGCCCCAAGACGACCGACACAATCAGGTTTTCGTTGGCCCCGCAGACAAACGTCATACCGTGAATCGTCTCGCTAAAGGAACACGCCAGTTGAGCATGCCATGGCATCATTTGTGATACCATCTCTTACTTGCAACTCGATTGTGACGTCGTTAACACTAGAATTATCGATAGCTGGCATTTGCTTACTGGGGCTAGTGGACACTGGCGCAGCTAGAAGCATAATCAGGGCCAGCGTGATTAGGAGCTTCTCTAACTGTTTTAGAAAACCTTGGAAAAGCTCGCCTTACCGCGGCCAACGGACTACCACTAGTTGTTCGGAATTCCATCGTTGCCCCCGTTGTTGTAGCCTGCACAACTTTTAACCATGAATTTATCGTTGCTGATCGGATACCGTTTGATGTTATTATCGGAATAGGTTTGTTGAGGAGGTTAAAATGCCGACTTGACCTGGAGAAGTCACAACTAATCACTGATTCGTGCACCATACTACTGAGAGAATGCAGCAACAGCAATTTTGAGGATTTTACGTTATATGAGTGCAGTGTCAAAGAGCAACAATGTGTAGACGATTTTATTCGGTCGCTTGGGTTTTCAGCTGACACATTAACGCAGGCACGATTAGCGCAGGTTTTACAAAATTATTCAGACGCCTTTGCATGGAAATCCGGCGATTTGGGACGGACCGGCCTGGTAAACTGTATTGCATGGTGTGGCTAGACCGATTAACGTGCCTCCGCGACCTATTCCAATGCACTGGCAGGGGGAGATACAGAAGCTGATAGATGAGATGTTAGAGAAGAACGTTATCCGACCCTGCAACTCCCCATGGGCATCTCCTGTTGTCCTGGTAAAGAGAAAGGACGGTGGCTTCCGATTAATCGTCGATTACCGAAGATTGAAGGAGGCTACCAGAATGGACGCCTACCCACTCCCATGGATCGACGATCTGTTCAACGCACTTGCCGGATCTGTGTATTTTATCAAACTTGACCTGGCTTCCGGTTACTGGCAGGTGGAAGTAGAAGAGACCGATCGTGCGGAAACCGCATTTGTCGTGCCCTCCGGGTTGTACGAGTTTCAGACCATGCCATTTGGCTTAACTAACGCTCCAGCTACCTTCCAACGCCTTATGCAAAAAGCATTAGCCGACCTGATCCCGCGTAAATGCCTCGTGTATTTGGATGATTTCATCGTACATGGACAGACGGAAGATGAACACTTGGACAATTTGGCGAGTGTTTTGGAATGCTTGGTGCGAGTGGGATTAAAGCTTAAGCCCTCAAATTGTCATCTCTTGAAAAGGGAAATGGCGTACTTAGGGCACATAATATCTGGAGATGGTATTCGAATGGACCCGGTAAAGGCTGAACAGGTCAGATGGTGGCCAACGCCAACCACTACGGAGCAGTTACGTAGTTTTCTCGGGTTAGCATAATATTACCAGTGATTTATTCGAAACTTCTCATCCATTGCAGCCCCATTACACTCACTGCTAGAGAAGGGTCGAATGTTCGGATGGTCCAAGCAGTGCGCAGAAGCTTCCAATCACCTACGTGAATCTCTCTGTACGGCCCCTTTGCTAATATTTCCCGATTTGTCCCCGTCTGCTGGCCAGTTTATCTTGGACACTGATGCGAGTGATAAGGCGATTGCAGCGGTGTTATCACGACTGGGATCAGATGGTGTCGAACGAGTCATGGCATATGTTAGTCGCAGTCTTAGCTCGAGGGAGCGAAATTACTGCACTACTAGTAAAGAGATGTTGGCATTGGTATATTTCATCAAACAAAACCGACACTATCTATTAGGTCGAAAGTTGCTGGTCCGCACAGACCACCAATCACTTCGGTGGCTGCAGAATTTTAAGGACATCGAAGGCCAAATCGTGCGCTGGCAAGAGCAATTGCAGGAATATGACTTTGAGTGCAGACATCACCCCGGTAAGCAACACGCTAATGCTGATGCATTGTCACGAATTCCCCCTCGCAACCATGGAGAGTGCCCATCGTGTAATACGCAACACGTATCAATCGTCAATCTTAAAGGAGCAGAGAATGGTCGGTGGCAAACGGCGCAGGCAAACGATCCCGATACCGCATTGATCTACGAGAGGCGTCTTACTGGCGGCGACATACCAACGAGTAAAGAGATGGAAGGGAAAATTTACGAAGCTCATTGACTTTGGGCCATGTGGGATTACCTGACCACCGAGGAAGGGGTTTTGATTTTCAAGTTCGGACCGACGTACATGATAAGAATCATCGTCCCGCACTCTATGGTTAGGGAAGTACTGAGCGATTTACACAAGGAAATGGGACAAGCAGGAATCAATAAAATGGACGAAGCGGTTCGACGACGTTACTGGTGGCCCCATCAACGGAGAGATGTGATAAACTACTGTCAGGCGTGCGAAGAATGTGGTGCCATTAAAAACCCTCGTATCGTTCACCGTGCACCCTTGCAGTCCATGGTGGCCGGTTATCCTAACGAGATAGTAGAAGTGGATCTCATAGGGCCTTTACCTGAGAAGCCACAAGGTAATCGCTTTATTTTGGTCATGATCGATTACTTTACTAAATGGTGCGAGGCTATACCGATAGGACAGGCGGATACGTTTACTGTAGCAACAGTTTTGGTAAATCATTGGGTCTGCCACTGCGATGCACCAGGGCAGCTACACTGGGATAAAGGATCGTGCTTTGAGAGCTCATTGGTAATTGAAGTTTCTCGGTTACTTGGGATAGACAAAACTCGAACCACAGCGTATCATCCTCAAGGAAATGGGCAAGTGGAAAGAACAAATCGTTCTCTTAAATGGTTGCTGAGGGCCTTCGCGGACAGGAATATCAATGAGTGGGACAATGTGTTGCCCAGATGCCTACTTGCATACAGGAGCACAGTACACTCATCGACGGGACAGACACCATTCCTTATGTGGACGGGAAGAGAGCCACTAGTACCTTCGGATCTACGTCTACCGATGACGCAACAGCTACAGCCGTCGGTTATGGAACATGTTAGCAAGTTGTTAGACTCCCATTGACAGTCGCATCAGTCAACACGAGTGCATTTAGGGAATGCACACCGGCGTCAGAAGGAATATTACGACAAGAAGGTATTTGGAGTACCCCTGAAAGTTGATGATTTAGTTTGGTTACACCAACCTCAAGCATCAGGAGTGCCGGCAAAGTTTCACAGAGAGTGGCCGGGTCCATATACGGTAGAACGAGTGCTCTCTGAGGCCACCTGCATGATAAAGAATCGTAACAACCCTAATAGTCAACCTATAGTTGTCCATTTCAATCGTCTCAAACCCTGTAGACAAGAGGCTGAGTCAGTTGAGTCAGAGAAGGCAGATTCATCACCAGTGGTCGCTCGTGAAATGAAGTATTTTTGAGGGGGCTACGGTGTAGCACCGGAGACGGCGCTCGAAGGAGGGAGGGTGTAGTGTAGTGTGGAACGGAAACTGTCGTGGCGCGCTGCTTGACTTTGAACATGTGCTTACGCTGCGCTCTCATTCGCCTTGCAGGAACCTGGTCGTGCGCTTCAGCGGAAGAAGTGCAAGCAGGAGAAGATTGACTGTAACGTTTATTTTCCCTATTATCACATTATTTCCTCTATTGTAGTTTGCTACGTGTTGCTCAATAAATCTCCAATTCTAATCTCCGGAGTTCTCCCGAGCTAGTATATTGCACATGCGCGCTATTTTCCCATATCACTTTACTTGTATTCCTAAGGAAATGCAGGAATGCTTGCTGCAAGCGCATAATGAACCAATTTATTTTTTCACTTCGTAATATTGGCATATCCTTGACTCTTCAATGTCAAATATTTCATTCTTGTACGACTACTGCTTATCTGCACGGCTTCGGCGCATTAATGCATCCTGCAATATTTAACCCTTTGCAGTTGTCTTTAGAATACTATTCTCGAGTTGACTACTATTTTTAATTTGGGTTATCTTATCACGGTAACAGGAACTTACGTTTAATCTTACGCGGTCAGACCTGCGTATAGTATTGCTTCGTTAGCCTACGGATTCATTGTTCCGTCTAGTGCGATTATATAGTCTCTACTTTGTATTTTCGGCAATGACCGCGAGGTACACGTCGCATGAGAATGCCCTGTGGAGACAAGCACTGATGAATAGTGTAAATAGCGTCTTGATTGACGTTCCTTTCCATGGCATCGACAAACGTCTTCTGTAGGATTCTCAACAAGGTGACCCAATTATTCAGTTTTATTCGATTAAATTGGATCCCAGTAGTATATGAAACAGAGCCTAAATCACGTGCTTCCCTAAAGCTGGGTGTAATGTGGAATGTTTTGCGCAATACACTCCAGTGTAAATGAAATATGTCCATTTGACCATCAAGAACAAGGGACCGAAGGTAGACAAGCGTTTCCGAGGAATTTATCATGATACCTTCACAAACCTATGGGTAAAAGAGCAATGGGCGTAACAGTGGTTTTGATCAGTTCAAAAGAAATTAGGTCAAGTGCAAACCGTGAGCATAAACCAGCAATCAACGTGAACGATAAGAGCAAACTAGGGCAAAGATGTAGCCAAAGGATTGCTTCTGGCCTCCGAGTCGTCCATTTTATATGACAGGGGTCGCTTGAGTTTCGATCAATTTATTTGGTGAACACGCAAGCGCTTAATAAAACTGAATACTGATCGTCTTGTCTGTAGCGAGGTTGCGAAGACGCGGTCCTTTCGAGTACAGTGTGCTTTTACTACCAATTGCGATAATCACATATTTCATCCTCAGCACATTGGCAGGATCCACTGCATACACAACTGAACGATGAGATGTAAAATAATAATGTTCAGCCACAAGATACTCGTGATGAAAGAATGCAGAAATCTCCTAACTGGTCTAAATCGTGTTGGATTGGTGGACCCATATGACGAAATCGGTCAAAGGAAAAAATTTGTCAGTGCGCTTTCATTTGAAACAGTGCACCAAAGATCCCATATGCGTTAAAACTAGTGTACTGAATTAATATTTAAAGTAAGCCTAAGCTCAATGAATATTACGTAGCCATATGGTAGCTAAAACACATGACGGCCAAACATTTATGGAATTTGTAAACTTAGTTGATTATTCAAGTGAAGAACGTTTCGTTAACAAAACGTGATACTAGCTGAGGATTTATTACGTCACATAGTCTATATTTTGTAACACTAGTGAATACCCGTCCTGACCATGACACGTAATCGACTATAATTATCGAAAGTCGAATAATGTCAGACACGCCGATGCAAGCGCTAGAATATGACGGAGACGGATGTACCGTACAGGATCCGAAATTAGCACAGCAATTCACCGAGAAGACCGGTGCAAGGGAATATGTGCGATGAAGCATTATTATCATAAGTCCACACATAATTACACATAAATGGAAGCTGAGTAAAACGTTTTGGCTAACTGGGCTGTAATGCAAACGTAATGATAGATCAGGTCTAGCTACTAAACATTTTAGATTAAAAAAATAACAATCCAAGTAATAAAATGTTAAAGCAAATAAAAAGTTCAATGTTATTAATGTAATGTGATATCCTTGTTGACGGAAGAAGTTAAGGGGAAAGGTTGGAAAAGGGAATTCGCAAAACAAAATCCACGAATATTGTCTCATTATTATTTTGACTAATACACCCAGGTGAACGTGTTCATCATCCACTGGACAACAGAGAAGCAGGCAGGAGAATATAACGGATACCAATTTCGCAATGCGGAACTTCCTTTTCTTTTTACTAGGTAACCATCGCTTCGTTCTCCTGCGTATTCCCTTCACACCTCCGTCGGAAAACAATGCGCATAGCAGTATTCTTTGTGCTGCATTCCACAACAACTAGTCACATAATTGGGGCCCGGTGCATAGTGTGCTATACGCCTGATGGGAAGCAGTAAAACAAAACAAATGTTGCTACATACATCATAAACGAATTTGCACATATGTTGCTACAGCGTTTCCTCCTAAAATGCTGAGCCAATGCGTCGACATATAGAATAAAGTGAGTCTAGATTAATAAACCAAAACTATACGGAATAAAATGGCTGTGATTGCTGGTGTCAAAAGTTTCGACGGAAAGCGGTTTCCACTATTCAGTTTCGTTTCATTATTTGACTGATTGCACGTGAGGTATATCAATGTGAGCATTTGAAATGTGTTTGTCACAATGCTGACATGACTGATTCAGAAAACTTCTGTCAAATTTTACAATTACTGGGAGCAAACGATGCACTTAAGAGTGCTCTTTCCTCAAGCCGTTCCCGACGCGCGACAAAATGCATTTCGTCCCGCGAAGAAAACAAACTTTCGCCTTGCATTCCTATATGATTGCAGCTGTGTCCAAATGCGGTACTCCTGAAATCCGGTCGATCGCACTGTAGGATTTGTTCATGTTGTGATAAAAATAACGAACGCAAA